TCAGGATGGCTCAGTATTCATCTCTAGGGATGTATATTTCTATGAGCACATGTTTCCTTTCAAGGGGAATGATCTCATAACAAGGCCAAATGGACAATTATCATCAGATTCAACTGATGTTCCACTGCCAGTGGTTTCTTTTTCAGATGATTGTGGCTTTCACTACACACCTAGAGCCCCACAACATTCTCCATAGACAAGGATTACTCCTACAAATAACAGCTTGCCTGCTGCTGCTAACACAAGTCCATCTATTCTTGCTGAAAATAGCTTACCTGCCCCAACTCAGGATTCATCTGCTGATAATGAAGTGATGAATGACCCTCCTATTGAACAGCCTAGGAGATCATCGAGAACAAGGTCAGTTCCTGTAAGGCTCCAAGACTATTGTTGTGATTCAGTTGTGAATAATAGATCATCTCCACACTCACTAAACTCAGTGATTTCTTATGAATCTCTATCCCCTGCGCACAAAGTCTTATCCATTGCTATATCCTCTAACTTTGAGCCCAAGACCTACAATGAGGCAGTAAAACATGACTGTTGGAAGGAGGCTATGAGAGCTGAGATTCAAGCCCTCCAAGATAATCAAACTTGGATCCTTACTGAGTTACCTACTGGAAAGACACCAATTGGCTGCAAATGGGTGTACAAGATTAAGTATAGGGCAGATGGATCAGTGGAGAGACACAAAGCAAGATTGGTAGCCAAAGGTTACACTCAGCAGTTGGGTGTGGACTATATTGAAACATTTTCACCAGTGGCAAGGATAACAACCATTAGAACTTTTCTATCAATAGCAGTGGCAAAAGGATGGCACATTCAACAACTTAACATTAACAATGCTTTTCTACATGGAGACTTGGATGAAGAAGTTTACATGGTGCTTCCACCTGGTTTTCATAGTGACAAATCTAATCAAGTGTGTAGACTTTTGAGGTCACTTTATGGTTTGAAGCAGGCTAGCAGACAATGGAATGCAAAATTAACAGTGCTTTATTACAGACTGGTTTTATACAGGCAAAATCTGATCCCTCTCTGTTCATCAAGTCTACCACCACTTGTTTTGTTGCATTGTTGGTTTATGTTGATGACATTATTATTGCAAGCGATGCCCTTAGACAAATAGAAGAATTGAAGCAGTATTTGAACTCTACCTTCAAAATTAAAGACCTTGGTGACATCAGTTATTTTTTGGGCATTGAAGTAGCCAGGTCTGTTGATGGTCTCAATTTGTGCCAAAGAAAATATACTTTGGACATCTTAAAAGAGTGTGGTTTCTTAGAGAGCAAACCAGTGAGTACTCCCATGGTGCCAGGACAACAACTCACTCACAATGATGGGATTCTTTTAGAAGACCCAAGTGTTTATAGGAGATTGGTTGGCAGGTTGCTCTACCTTACAGCAACAAGACCCGACATCACTTACACGGTGCATCAGTTGAGTCAGTTCGTTGACCAACCTACTGAGAAACATCTAGCAGCAGCTCATCGCGTACTGAGATATTTGAAGGGTGCCCCAGGCAAAGGTTTATTTTATTCATCAAATTCTGAGCTTAATCTGCAAGTATTTGCTGATTCTGATTGGGCAACATGCATAGAGACCAGGAAATCCATCTCAGGCTTCTGCATTTTTCTTGGACAGTCACTTATATCTTGGAAATCCAAGAAACAACCAACTGTTTCAAGGTCATCATCAGAAGCTGAGTATAGGTCATTGGCCGTTGCGGTTTGTGAGACGCAATGGTTATGGTATTTGCTATCTGATTTACAGATTTTTCCTTCCAAACCGGCGGTTCTCTTCTGTGACAATCAATCTGCCATTGCCATTGCTGAAAACTTTGTCTTCCATGAACGAACAAAGCACATCGAAATAGATTGTCATATAGTGCGAGAAAAGGTGCAACAAGGTCTTGTTAAGCTTCTTCCTGTCTCCTCAGCAAACCAGATTGCAGATGGTTTCACTAAGCCCCTTCCTGCTCCTCAATTTCTTCAGTTTAACTCTAAGCTGGGCCTACAAGATCTGTATACTCCAGCTTATGGGGGGGTATTGAAGCAGTAGATATTTTTTTCCTCCCAGCTTGTCCAGCTCAGCACCTGTCAGTGCTTGTATATATACAGTCTGTTTTGCTTAGGTAGAGAGATGATTTCCATTTTTCTTCTTCCTGTAACAGAACTTCTTAGCATGAATAAATCTTCTCCTTTATTCTTCTTCCGCCATGAATGATTGTTAAATAGCTTCATCCTTGCCTTCACAACACAGACCATCAGGCGGGGGACCAAATTCTGCCCAATTTTCTTCCGAATCAAAGTGACATATCCCACTTTTGGGTCGAAATGAGTGGGCATATTCTCCTCCACGGCCGTCGAAGGGATAACCGTCACCATGATCGCGAGCATACAAATGGAACTTCAAATCTGCACTGGCGTAGTCAGTTCTATCAAACTTAAAACGAACTGCTTTTTGCCAATGCACAAATGCCAACCCCACAGGGATGAAGGATTTGAACGTAGTTCGAGTTCTAAATCCATATGTTAGAACATGTTTATTATCTGGCTATTTGGGCTTGCCTGGATAGTGGGCATATAGCGGCGCCACTTCAAAGGCTCCGTGGCGGCGGCGGCGCATCAGGTTTATGCCGTTGATGATATCCGGCACTCCGCATCGAGGCATCATCATTTGTGATACGGTGTAGGCGTCCAAAACTCCGGTGGAGTTGAGGTTGAAGTTGGTCTGATAGGTTTTGATGGCCGACTCCAGTTGATCGGAAAAATAATCAGCTCCGGGAGAGCTACTGTTAAAGGGAAGATGAGACGATGTTTTGTTCAAATTCAAATAATTGATCAGATTGTTGAGAAGACCCAATGCAGAGAGTCCTATAGGAGAGTTAACACAATACTCTCCTGTTATTCAGGATAAAACAATTGACTAGTCTACATCTAATAATAATAATAATAATAAAACATACAATATAAATGTAAAACATAAATATTACTAACAGGGAAAATCATCAATATAATCAATTTTTTTGAGATACTTCTTGAGATTGTATAATCCTTCCACTTTGTCTCCTTTCTTGGATCCCTGCAACGGTTTGATAAAGTCAACACCTGACCACGACGTATCTCCCCTATCATCAAATTTGACAGGGAAAGGGCAAGGGGGAGAAAGATGAATGCATATGAGAGTAGTGATGAGACTTTAAACGCCATTGTTGGCTAAACAAGCTAAATTGATGAGTTGTTTTACCCGGTTTTCAATGAATCTAATCTATTTATGGAGTTATGTTTGGTCAAATATTTGATACTATAAAAATGTTTATAAAAATTTTAATCACTTTACTATTTCTTTTGAGTACTATTGACCCTGTTACATATAGTATTTATTCAAAAAAATTTAATCACTTTACTATAATTATGAAGAATATATTCTTCACAATTATAATAAATACATTAAAATGCAATGACGATAATGTTATTGACTTTTTGCCCATCTTTCAAATACAGTTATGTAATTTTCAAGATTACATTAGAACTCATATTGATGCATATAAAAAATACCTTAAATATGGAAACACAAATTTAAAAAAAAATTCACTCGTAGCTATCCGGAAATAATTATGCAATATAGTTGGGCGAGTATGTTAACCCTTTTAGTTAATGTTATACAAGAACTAATTAATAGGGATTCAGTCTATTTTGAGTGATAAGAAAAATTTACAGTCACCATTTGAGAATGTATACGGGTAAACATTGCTTTGTGACCTTATTTGGTAAAGGATCATAAGAAGGTAAATAAACAAAGATTGCCTACAACTCATCAACTCTAATAGTACTTAGTTACTGGTTGTACGTACTCGTAGAATGTATATATCGTATGTATTCTCCTCATAGCTAACTTCACGTCGTACATACAATATGATGAACAACCTTAATTAGCTAGCTTCGTTTTGATTTTTTGGGGTGTTTTTAACATGGTTGCAATAGGCGCTAGGCGCTAGTCGGGCGGTAGAGTAACGCCTAGCGCCTAGACGGCCTAGGCGGGGCCTAAGCGGGATTGGCGGTCGCCTAGGCGGCTAACTAAAAAAAAAAAGAAAACAGTGCACATGTGTAAGTGCATATATGTCATATTATACATACATATATATATATATATATATATATATACATACATATATATATATATATATCATAAAAATATATATATCATATTAATGAAAAAAATTAGCAAGGTCGAGTCCGTCGAGTTAACTCGGCTAACTCGACAGAAATTGACGAGTAAACTCGGTGTAATCGACCGAGTTAGGCGCTAGGCCGGCGCCTAGGCGGCCGGTTTTCTAGGCGGGCACCTAGGGAGAAAATGGCTACGGCCAAGGGGCGCGGCGCCTAGGCGCCGATTACAATCCTGGTTTTTAATGGATGTACAATATTATTTTTGTAATGTTGCGGCTAGCTGGTAGTACAATCATCAATCAGTCTTCTAACATGTGAATTATTAATATTAAGCAAGAAATCTAATTATTGTTGTTGTACGATGAATCAATCATAAAGAAACTGGGGATTCTGCTGGTTAGGAATAAAGAGTTGTGATTCCTTGAACATCGTCCTCGTGCAATACTCTGTGCGTGCCACCAACTTTAATATATGGCCACATGACAGATTCGGGTACGTTACTATGAGCAAGTCCGAGGAGGTGTCCGATTTCATGCAACGCTACGGTCTGGATATCCACCTGGTCCGGCAAAGGATCTGCGGACCAAGGCTCTTCAGCATCGATGTGAAACGTGCCGCCGGTGGGTGCTGTAGCGTGGGCCAGGACTCCGTAGGGGCCGTCAAACGGGTACCCATCGCCGTGCTCGCCGACCATCAAAGCAATCTTTAGATCTGCCTTTACGTACTCGGTTTCCGAGAACGAGAAATGGCTCTTGGCGGTCCATTCCGCGAACGCCATTGCCACCTGGGGGAAGAACTGCGGCGGCGTGCCGGGTGTGAATCCATATGTCAGGTGGTTCTTGACTTCTTTCCGTCCGGCCACCTCAGCTCGCCGTCGAAGAAAACATAACGCGAAACGGCGTGAAAGGATCCGAGCCGGCGGCGGCGGATTATCCCGGAGGGACGCTGCATCAAGTTCTGGCCGTTGACTATATCCGCCACCCCACACCGCGGCGTCGCCATCAGCGACACGGTTTCCGCGTCCAAAACTCCGGTGGCGTTGAGGCGGTGATTGGTCTGGTAAGTTTTGACGGCCGACTCTAGGAAATCATCGAAACCATCATTTTCCTCTTCTCCATTGATAGTGATAAAATCGTCCAAATAACCAAACCTTTTAAGATAATTCTTGAGATGTTTTAGCCCTTCAACGTTGTCACCTTTCCGACATCCTTGCAAACGTTTGATAAACTCGAATGCGGAAGGTGGTTTCTCCCCTGCAGCCGGCGCCGTCGGCGGCTCTGCGTGGGAAGGGAATAGGACGAGAAGTAAGCATACACATGATAGTAGCGGAGAGGCTTTGAGTGACATGGTTAGGCGATATGAAAAACTTCGAAAAAAATTGTAGTATTTATCTTTGATTGATGCGAATTATTTATTATAATCACTTTCAAATGCATATGATAATTATGCATTCATATATAGCAACGTACTTATTTCTTCCCATGGTCAGTAATTTGATTCTTTTAATTTTGGAACACGTCCTAATAAGTAATAAAATTACTTTTCTTTGCACACGTATATATGGCATTTACATTATTAGTAGACGTCTGTTTGATCCAGATTTAGTTTTATAAAATATTTTAATAGTAATATAGCATCCATAATTTCTTAATTAGTATCTATATCTATATTTCTATATGTATCTATCGATCTATTCTATTAATATAAAATAAAAATCTTCTTCGACTTTCCCGCGCATTCAAATTTTTTTTTAATATTAATTCATTAATTAATTTATTGGCCAAAGAATTAATAAAGCTTAATTGGTATGAAATTATTATATGAAAAGTAACTAATATCTATTAATTGATAATATTCTTTGCCAATTCTGCGTAATAACGTAATTGTTTAAAAAAAAATGATTTATTAATTATTATGTAATTTTACAAGGAAATAATGATTTATTAATAGTATAGATTTACACCAATAATACTAATATAAAATTAACGGGGCATTTGGTTGGAGGGAGGGAATTACGTGGGAAATGGACATGAATAAAAATATTGGGAATTTCAATTTCAATGTTTGGTGTAATGGGAAGTGAAAGGGAATAAGTAATATTAAGTCCAAAATGTCCATTGTTATTGTCAGACATCAATTTTATGTTAAAAAAAAAAAAAAGGAGGGATAATTTTGTCTCATCATTATCTTTTTTTCTTCCTAAAATTCATCGAATTTAAATCCTAAGGGAGGGGGCATGAGATTTTAATTCCATGAAAATGAGGGAATTGCAATTCTTTCCAACCAAACTAAGGAATTTAGTGACCTTTGAATTAAGTGGGAATGAAATTTAAATTCCCTCCAACCAAACACCTTGTAATATTCTTTACAAATTCTGCGTAAAGAATTGATTATTTTATCTATTGGTGTAAACCACTGCAAGTCTTTCTCTGTCCGTTAACGGTCCAGGTCCAACGGCTAATTTCCGTTCGCTGCCCAATAAGATTACCTTAAATTTACTAAATATGGGGATTACCTTAAATCTACAAAATATGGGTATTGATCATGGGCAAATTTCACTATGGAACGTGGTTCACGTAGAATTGTGGACCACGCGTTTATATGGCATCATTTTGAAGCAAGTTTAGGATGAATGACAAACGTGGCCACTAATTCTTGCAAACGGAAAACTTCTGTGTTTATTGTCCCTATTCTTCTTTTCTCGTTTATGTTGTTCTTCTCCATCTCAGAGGGCGGTGATCTTTCTATTCAAACATGAATAAAACCATAGGTAGAAGCATTACGATTGCCAAGATTAATGCGAATTCATTAGTGGTTGTTGATCACAGTTCATCAACTCCGAGTTTCTATCCTCTCATTCTGTTTACAACATCAACAAGTAAAGTTTTTATTTGGCCTGGGAAAGTGAAGACATGCTTATCAACTCAAAAGAAGATGATAGAGATTGGGTTGATGTGATTGATTAGACTGTATGGAAAATCAAAACATCTTAATTATTGTAACATCTGCCATCGTCATTGAGTGGAGTTGGGCTTTACTTTTAAAGGTACAAACGTAGATGAAATTCTTTGATCTGTGTTAATATTTTATGGTGTTTTTGATTCTTTATATCATTTGCTTTTATTATTATTATTCCTGCATTTGATCTTATAATTAGTTTAATTAAAATTGACTAGGAACCAGTTATTAAATATTTCTTGCATTCAAGACTCACGAACTTAACATTAACATTGTTTTAAGTGCTTCAAATTAAACAGGATAAAGGGCTCTAATTCCTTCAATATCATCAGATTGAAGAACCCTTTTTGTCTCACCATATTTGAAAAAAGGCCACATAACGGCTTCACGAACTTCACTGTGGTCAAGTCCAAGAAGGTGTCCGATCTCATGCAACGCAACGCTTTGTATATCCAGACCATCTGGCGGTGGACCAAATTCTGCCCAATTTTCTTCTGAATCAAAGTGACAGATCCCTTTTTTGGGTCGAAATGAGTGAGCATATTCTCCTCCACGGCCGTCGAAGGGATAGCCGTCGCCGTGATCGCGAGCATACAAATGGAACTTCAAATCTGCACTGGCGTAGTCAGTTCTATCAAACTTAAAACGAACCGCTTTTTGCCAATGCACAAATGCCAACCCCACAGGGATGAAGAATTTAAACGGGGTAGGATTTCCAAATCCATATGTGAGAACCTGCTTATTATCCGGCCATTTGGGCTTGCCTGGAAAGTGGGCATATTGCGGCGCCACTTCACGGCGGTGCCGCCGCATCAGGTTTGTGCCGTTGATGATATCCGGCACTCCGCATCGAGGCATCATCATTTGTGATACGGTGTCGGCGTCCAAAACTCCGGTGGAGTTGAGGTTGAAGTTGGTCTGATAGGTTCTAATGGCGGACTCCAGTTGATCGGAAAAATAATCAGCTCCGGGAGAGCTACTGTTAAAGGGAAGATCATCGATATAACCAAATTTTTTGAGATACTTCTTGAGATTGTATAACCCTTCCACTTTGTCTCCTTTCTTGGATCCTTGCAATGGTTTGATAAAGTCAAAACCTGACTCCCCTATCACAAAATTTGACAGGGAAAGGGCAAAGGAGAGAAAGAGGAATGCATATGAGAGTAGTGATGAGACTTTAGACGCCATTGTTGGCTAAACAAGCTAAATTGGTATGAGTTGTTTTACCCGGTTTTCAGTCAATCTAATCTATTTATAGAGTTATGTTTGGTCAAATATTTGATATTATAAAAATTTGGAATAAGGTTCAAATTGGCCACTAAACGTAACCTGAAAATGCAATTAGGTCACTGAACAAAAAAAAAGTGCAATTAGGCCATTAAACACTCAAAAAATGTGCAATTAGGCCACTGAACTCTCCAAACGTATGCAATTTTACCGGATAGCAGGTTACCATCAATTTTAGCAGGTTACCTGCTTACGTGGCAGCTTAGTTGGCATTTTTAATAATTTTTAAATAACTTTTAATAATTAATTTTAATAATAAATTTTATAAAAAATTGGAAAAAATTAAATAAAAAATAAAATAAAGTCGTTTTTATTTTTAAAAAATTTTTTTTAATAAAAATTTATTATTAAAATTTATTAAAAATTAATTAAAATTTATTAAAAATGCCAACTCAGCTGCCACGTAAGCAGATAACCTGCTAAAATTGAGGGTAACCTGCTATCAGGTAAAATTGCACATTTTTGGAGTGTTCAGTGGCCTAATTGCACTTTTTTTTCGTTCAATGGCCTAATTGCACTTTCAGGTTACGTTCAGTGGCCAATTTGAACCTTATTCCAAAAAATTTTTAATCACTTTACTATTTTTTTTTTTTTTTGAGTAGTATTGACTCTTTCACATGTAGTATTTGTTCAACAAAATTTAATCACTTTACTATAATTGTGAAGATTATGTACTTTATTTATAACTATGAAATAATTGAGGGACTAATAAATTAATAAAGAATATAATCTTCACAATTATAATAAATACATTAAAATGCAATGACGACATTGTTATTGACTTATTGCCCATCTTTCAAATACAATTATGTAATTTTGAAGATTACATTAAATATGAAAACACAAAAAACAAATTCAGTCGTAGCTATCCAAAAATTATGCAATATAGTTGGGCGAGTGTGTTAACCCTTTTAGTTAATGTTATACAAGAACTAATTAATAGGGATTCAGTCTATTTTTAGTGATATGAAAAATTTACACTGACTATTTGAAAGTGTGTAACATTGCTTTGTGACCTTAGTTGATAAATGATCATAAGATGGTAAACAAACATAGATTGCCTATAACTCATCAGCTCGATCAAACCAAGTCAATAGACCGCTCTCATTGGAAGTCAAAATACAATATGGGTCCCACGAGTATTAGCAAAATAACACACTACTGGAAATTCTGAAATTTCCGACCACCTGAAAGTGATCATAAATCAAGTTGAAAGTCTTGTTCCGACCACTTTTGGTATCCGGAAAAACCTTTGTTGCTATTTCCGACCACTTTTTGGATTTTTTGGTATCAACTTAATTTAAGATCATTTTCAGGTGGTCGGAAATTTCAGAATTTCCAGTAGTGACAGTTTTGGTCAACATCTTTAATCTATCTCTACCATTATTCATCCCATGCATGACTATTTTTTAGTACCAAAATTCATCACTCCGGTTACTCATCTGGTTAGGACACGCCGAAATCTACAATTATTAAGGGTATTTGTGTCCTTTTATAAATAAGATCAAAGCAAATACTAATTTTTGTCCCACAAATATTAGAAAAATGACAGTTTTAGTCAACATATTTAATCACTACCAATTTTTATCCAACGAATATTTTTTTTCTGTCAAAATTGGTCACGCTGGTCACTCCACTGGCTAACACATGTCGAAATGTGAAAATGGTAATGTTATTTTTGTCCTTTCATAAATCAAAGATAGAGATTAGAGAAAGGATATATTGCGTTTACTTTTTTTTTTTTTTTTTTTTTTTTTCTTGTTTTCGTTCGCTGTTGTTTCTTGCTAAAACTGGATGGATTGCTCGAATAATTCCATGATTGTCTTCTACTTGTGTTCCTCCATCAACAACCTTCATTGCTTCTCCTTCACGCTTCTCATTTTCGACAACCTTGAAGTATTCTTCTTTCTTAGCCTAGTACTTTTCCTCGTAGGGGTGATTAACGTGATAAATTTTGTCACAAAAATAATAGTCGTTGGATGCAAATTAGTAGTGATTAAACATGTGGACTAAACCGTCGTTTTGTTAATACTCGTGAAATCAAAATTAGTATTTCCTCTAATCATAATTATAAAAGGACACAAACAGCCTTGATAATTGTAGATTCCAGCGTGTCCTAACCGGATGAGTGATCGGTGATCAATTTTGATAATAAAATGAAAATTAGTAAGAATTAAACATGTAAACCAAAAGTGTTATTTTGCTAATACTCGTGCGACCAAAATTAATATTTGCTCAATTTGATAAAAAAGAAAAATATTAGTATTTTTTTTTCATTTGGTATTTAAAATATTTTGACCAGAAAAGAAACATATTTTGTCTTCCTCAAACTAGTAATTTAAATATTTTATTTTATTTGGACAACTAACATACATAGTCACATAGAAATCTAAGTATTGTTACATTGTTGTCCTCCAGCTAGGCTGCTAGAAATGGTAAAGAGCTCTAATTCCATTTATATCATCTGGTGTAAGGTCCCGTCTCTTCTGACCATATTCAAACTCAGACCACATAACGGCTCCAGGGACTTCGCTGTGATCAAGTCCGAGAAGGTGTCCAATCTCATGAATCGCAACACTTCGTATGTCTAAACTGTGGGGAGATGGATCATGGTCTACCCAGTTTTCATCGGCATCAAAGTGACAGATCCCAATTGTGGGTGAAAATGCGTGAGCGTAGTTTCCTCCGGGGCCGTCAAACGGGACCCCGTCGCCGTGATCGCCCCTAGCCAGTGAGAACTTTAAATCCGCATGTTCGTACTGAGTTCTTTGGAACGAGAAATGCCCCACGTTATGCCAATCTCTAAGGGCCGTATAAACCGGGATGAAAAATTTAGCCGGAGTGCCCGGCGCGAATCCAAACGTGAGTTGGCTTTTCTGATTCGGCCACTTGGGCTCGCCGGGATAGAAACGGTAATTCGGAACCACCTCCGAGGGTCCGCCGGGACGCCCGTTGATGATATCCGCCACTCCACAACGGGGCTTCGTCATCTGTCTTACTGTGTCTGCATCCAAAATTCCGGTGGAGTTGAGGTGACGTCTGGTCTGATAAGTTCTGATGGCGGATTCCAGTTGATCTGAGAAATAATCGGCATCCCAAGAACTGCTGTTGTAGGAAAGATCATTAATATAACCGAAGGTTTTCAGATACTTTTTGAGGTTGTACAGTCCTTTCACTCTGTCTCCTTTCTTGGATCCCTGCAACTGGTTGATAAAGTCAAAAGCTGACGGCGAGGATGATATCTGGGAAAAGAAGAGGGAGAGAAAGAGGAAAGCATATAAGAGCAGTGGAGAGACTTTAGGCGCCATTGCTAGCTAAACAAGTTGATATTAGCTGTTTTTTCTTGCATTCATAGATCAGTCAATCTGATTTATTTATAATGTTATTTTCGTCACCTTTTAGAAGGATAGAAATGCTAATATTTATTTTTATAGACCATATTTATTATAATTGTGAAGATTATAACACTTTTTTTTCTCTCTCAAAAGTGCAATTGGGCAAAATTATTGAACATAAATTATATCTTTTTGTTCGAAAACCCAATAAATAAGAGTAGTCATCACTATTTATTACCATTCTTTGAATTATATTAGTGATATATTTAGTTATTTATAGTGTTATGATTCTTAAGCTTTTAGTAGGATAGAGATTGGTTTATAGTAGTTTTTTTTTTTTTTTTTGGTTAATTTATTATAATTATGAAGATTATCGTTCTATATTGATTATTGGTTCCTCAATTATTCTTAATTACAATCATAACTTCAATATTTCAATTGCTGCAAAATCTAGTCTTTTAATTGTTGATCTAGTTACAAATCAACTTTTTATTTATTTCTATTGTTGTTGTTAATTTAGTCATTCAATTGTTGCCATTATTACAAATGTAAACATTGAATTCAAGTACTAGATTTGTTATTAGGTTTACAATTTGATGGCTGGATTTACAACTAAGTTATCAATTGAATTAATGGATTTATAGGAATATAATTGATAAACATGAACTAGATTTACGACATGGTTAACAATTGAATTATTAGATTTAGAAAGGGAGTGACAATACTTGTAACTCAAAAATTGTTAAGGGATCAAAGTGTCATGAATTTTAGAAAATTAAACTTGAAAAGAAAAACATTATAAGCAATATTTAGATCACTTCAAAATTATAATATTCGCAACTATAATGAATACATTTATGTACAATGATGATAGTGTTATTGCCAATCTTTAAATGCATCCAAGTAATTTTGAAGATTACATTAATACAGATGGCTAGGTTGGTATGGGTTTGGCTTGTTGATCTAGGGGTGGGTTGGGTTCGGATTTTCTATCTAAGGGTAGCTGTGGGTTTGGCTAAAAAGAAAAGGCAGGCAGACATTACTAAAATGTCTTGTCTCGGGGTGAGTGTGGGCTCCACTTTGATGATTGTGGAACATTAGGATAATGGTTTTAGAATTCGAAGAACTAACTCTATTGAATTTCTCAAGAGACAAGTCGCAGGACTAGAATATAAAGAGTTAATTACTAAAATAGTCCATCGACTATAGCGAAATTATCGATTTGATTCTTGACTATTATTTTTAACCAATTAAATCCCTCAACTTTAAATATCTTAACTAATTTGGTTCTCTGTTTGTTTTGCCGTTAAACATCCGCTAACTCGGGACCAAATTGGTAATTTTGCTATAGTTAAGGGACTATTTCAGTCATCACATGCACCATTTTCTCTAAAAAGTTAATTACTAAAATGATCCACTATAGTGAAATTACCAATTTGATCATGAGTTAACGGATGTATAACGGCAAAACAAACGGAAGACCATATTAGTTAAGATTTTTAAAGTTGAGGGACTCAATTGATCAAAAAATAATCAAGAACCAAATTAATAATTTCACTATAATCAATGGACCATTTCAATAATTAACTCGAATATAAATTTTTCAGTTATCTAACTCTTAAATCCATCTTGGGGGCTGTGGAGGCGCCTTGCGTGACCATACTGGTACGTAGCTGGGTAGGGGACTTCATTCACACCATGCGACGGAGACTGAATTACGGGCAATCCTTCGTATGTCCACAGTATCGGGGGATGGACCAAATTCAGCAAAGTTTTCATCTGTATCAAAGTGGCAAATCCCATTTGTGGGTGCAAACTAGTAATTTAAATATTTTAGTTTATTTAGACAACATAGAAATGTAAGTACTGTTATACTATATGAACAGATACTACAATCTAACAGAGAGAATACTACCCAAAAAAAAAAGTACATACACTTGTCCGCTGAGGTGCTAGAAATGGTAAAGAGCTTTAATTCCATTTATATCATCAGTTGTAAGGTCATGTTTCTTCTCAGCATATTCAAACTCATCCCACATAACGGTGTCACGGTGTTCACTGTGATCTAGCCCGAGAAGGTGTCCGATCTCATGCAACGCAACACTTTGTATGTCTAGACCGTTGTGAGGTGGACCGAAATTTATCCAGTTCAATATATAATTGTGAATGTGAAGTTCAAAAATTATAAATATATAGCTTTATATATAATTATGAACATATAGTTCAGTAATTATGAGCATAAAGTTATGTAATTGTGAATATAGAGTTCAATAACTATGAATATGAAGTTTAAAAATTATGAATATATAGCTTTATAATTATGAACATATAGTTTTATAATTATGAACATTTTGTCTTCGCAGTACATTATGAATCTACAGTACAGAAATTATGAATCTACAGTATAGAAATTATGAATATATAGTACGGTATAAAAATTATGAATCTAGAGTATAGATTTTATGAATCTACAATATAAAAATTATGAATCTACAGTTTAGAAATTATGAATGTATTCCATATTTATCATGCGCATGATGAACACAGTTCCACAGCACAACTATTGATTAATAGGGACTAAATATATTTTATCAAATACGAAGTACCTGCCAAAAGAAAAAAATCACGTTTACAAATTAGCTAGTCACAACACATGAGTGTTATCCTCTCTCTTTACCCGACCCTTACGAGAGTCTTACAGCACGTTTGATTCACGGAATGAATTTTGAGGTAATAGGAATGCTATTTCATAAGGAATGAAATAGGCAAGGAATAGAATAGGAATTGTATTCTATTGTTTGGTTCGCAGAAGGAATAGACTTTAGGAATTATATTACAGTGTTTGGTTGATTTAAGGAATAGAAATGAAATATGTTTTAAAAGACATAAATACCCTTATAAAAATATGTGATGGTGGCGATGGTGACGGTGGTGGTGGCGGTGGTGGTGGTAGTGGTGGTGATGGCGGTGGCAGTGGTGGGGGCGACGGTGGTGGTGTTAACGGTGACGGTTGTGGCAGTGGTGGTAGGGGCAGCGACGGTTGTGGCGGTGGTGGTGGTGGTGGTGGCGGTGGTGCTGCTGGGTGGTGGTTCTGGTGGCGGTGGTGGTGGTGGCGGCGGCGATGGTGGTGGCGGTGGTGGTGGTGGTGATGGAGGTGGTGGCGGTCGCGGTGGTAGTATTGGCGGTGGCGGCGGTGGCAGTGGTGGTGGCGGCGATGGTGGTGGCGGCGGTGACAGTTGTGGCGATGGTGGTGGCGGTGGCAGCGGCGGTGATGGTGGTGGTGGTGGCGGCGGTGATGGTGGTGGTGGTGGTGGCGGCGGCGGTGATGGTCGTGGTGGCGGCGGGACGATGGTGGTGGTGGCGGCGGCGGCGGTGATGGTGGTGGCAGCGGCGGCGGTGGTGAAATAGGATATATATATGATAAAAAAATTAGGTTAAAGAAGGGGTAAAAAAGGAAATAGATTCTAAAATCTATTCCTGAGCGTTCAGTAATAGGCTAATACTAGGGGGCCCTAGTAATAGCTATTACCTTATTTGAGGTAATAGGCTATTACCAGGAATATTATTCCTGGTAATAGAAATGGTTACCAAACAACGGAATAAGCCTATTACCGGGAATGTTATGCCATTCCCGGCCTATTCCGTGAACCAAACAGGCCATTAGGAGTTTACGGGTCTTAAAAATTTATTAAATCTAGTTTTTGAATACTGTTACACTGTTAGAGTTGTTTGGCCTCTATTTTTGCCATTTGTATTTTATTTTTATTCTTTTCTTTTCCATGTATGAAAGTTAATAAATATAAAAAATTTGAATTTATAGTTAGATTTATTCGTAGAAAAGAATGTTATCAAACACGAATAAAAATTATATTTTAAAAAGTTTAACCATAATTTCTAGCCCCACTAACCAAACCTTCATTTCATTTAGAATTTAATTGATGGGGATATGGGTTATGGATTAAGATTTACTAGGCTTGCTATTGGGCTTGGTTTGACAATGCAGGTCAAAGGAGATGGATGGTGGACCGTCTAAGAAGCGGGTGGCCAGGAGGGGTCACCGGTTGAAACATTGGCCCGTGACGCGCCGCCAAGCGCCCCGCCCGTGCCTCCATTTCGAAAGGTGGCGCAGTGTGGCGATGCGAGGGGGTGTTTGTGCTGCCAACCACTAGCGCTCGACCGCACGAGTCGCGCGGCTAGGGCGCTGGACCCCGTCTGCCGGGATGTGCTCTTCGCCCCCGCTACGGCACCAAGCGCCCCACCCACCCCCTCCAGAGGTTGTGTGGCGCGATGGTGGGGTGGTGCGGTGTGGCGGTCGATTGTAGTGGTGCGACAGGTATGATGTGATGCGGCGTGACATGACATGTGGACATGGGACACATGGAGGATGAGGGAGAGTGGATTAAGTGGCGTACACGTTGATGGTGCAATGGCAGGGATTCTGCTATTAATAGGATGTCTTGCCTCTCACCAGGACATCACTATCTAAACACTACAGGCACCTTGGTCTAGTGGTTCATGACACTAACGTGTAACCCACACATAGGGGTTTGATTCCTCACCATAGCATTATTATTTCTATTCTCCCATTTAATTTGGGTCTATAGCTTGTGTTATCTTTTTATGGGATAAGGCTCAAATAGACCCTTGAACTATTGATAAAAGTGCAATTAGCTCCATCAACTACAAAAAGCTTTAATTAGGTACTTAAACTTTAAAGAAAAATGCAATTAGACATTTTTACAGGTTACCATAAGGTAATGAGTTAAAATTATTTATTTTTTATTAGGATGTAAGTAGATACCAAGTCAGCTAATTTTTAACTCATACCTGATGGTAATTTGTAAAAATGTCTAATTGCATTTTAAAAAAAAGTTTAAGTGCCTAATTGAAATTTTTTATAGTTGATGAGGCTAATTACACTTTCATCAATAGTTCAACACTTCAACTTCAACGATCCATTTGACCCTTATCATTTTTTATTATTTTTTGAGAATAATCCTATTATTATTATTATTATTATTATTATTATTATTATTATTATTGTTATTGTTATTGTTATTGTTATTGTTATTGTTATTAATTAATTAATTGGGTGGTCATTTAGGTCGGTACAACGGTACCTCAGATTTTGTAAGTACTCTCTTAGGTCTAGCGTCCCAAATAATAATATTACTATTTTCCTATCCTTTTCTATACATATTATACCCGATATATGGTGGACCGTTCTCAACAAAACCTTAAGAATCAAATTGGGAATTCATTTCAAACGAATTATTCAATCCACCATAAACTCATTCAATGTTTGTGTTTCTTTGGATTGAAAAACTTATTCTCATGTACTCATGAAATATGTTGTAACGAATTATTCAATCCACCATAAACTCATTCAATATTTGTGTTTCTTTACCGGTCTAGCCTTTATGGTTCATGTTCAGTTGAGTCACCATGATTTACATCCTCCCAAAATACTCTGTCGGGCCGGGGTGTGGGGGGCCCTTAGGGTTGGGGTTCATCCTTTTGGAATAATATTTGTGTTTCTTTGGATTGAAAAACTTATTCTCATGTACTCATGAAATATGTTGTATAGTTTTTTTTGTTAATTTCTTTTCTATTTTAAATGAAATGATGATGTTTTATTATTGAGTTTCTTAAAATATAAACAAATATTTCCTTACACGCTTTTTGATATAATCATTCTTCCAAAGGTTGAACCCCAACCCTAAGATCCCCCCACACTTCGACTCGACAAAAGATTTGGGAGGCTGTAAATCATGATAACTCAACTGAACATGAACTACATTTGCTCATTGCACACAAGGAACCCTCCTCACTTTGAGAGGTTGCTCCTACAGGTAAGACTCGACCCCTGGTCATTCTTCCAAACTTTCACCTCTATGACCAATTGAGCTGCCCATGCGGGTTTTGATATAGGTCCTGTTTGGTAAAAAATTAGCCTATAGGCCAATTTTGGCTTATTTGACCACTATTAATTGTTTGATTTAGTTAAAATATCAATATAAATGTTTAGTTAATTAGCTTTGTGCAACTTCAAAAGACTAAAATTCAAAAAGCTACTCCAAGCAACTTTTTCAATTAGCTTTTTGAGAAAATAAATTATATCAAACAGCTATCAGCTAACAGCTAATTTACCAAACACTTTTCTACAATCAGATAATGTTATCAACTATTTATACTCTCTAATTAACACAATCAGTTAACGACTAACAGCTAACAACTAGCCATTTTACTAAACAGGGCCATAATCATATTATTATGCAAATTTATATATTTTTAAAAAAATTTAATGAAATGACAGCATTCCGCTGTTGCGTACTTGCGTCTATTAAAATATGAAAATTATTTTAAGGCAAATACAACTCTTTTATGGTAATACTTTAATATTTAATGGCTCAATTATACTAGTTATGGTTTTTCTTTTTATCTTATTCTCTTTGACGTAAAAGATATGTTTACCCATTTTTCTAATGTGCTGATTTCTTTGCTATGCGATCCACGTATGGTTTTTTTTTTTTTTTTTTTTTGAATGCTACCATACTTTTTGCACTTAATGAAGCACACAGAGTAACAACGCCTCCACTGAGGCTCGACGGTATTTTTTTTTTTTTTTTTATTTGCGAGTCCATTTCTAGGCAAATTTTATTATGGACCAAGGCCTATGTACCGGCTTGAATCATAAAGTATGTATAATTTTAATTACATTTCAATTTTATTTGACAATATTGTTATGTTTTTTAGTTACATTTTTCCTCCACACTAGTTTCATTACAGCAATACTAAAGTATCATTATAATTCTACTATAGTTTCATTTGATAATATACATTATTGTTTGAGTTGCGCTCTATTTTTTTGTTTCATTTTTCACAAACACTAGTTTGATTATAATAATGTTGAAGTATTATTTTAATTGCAGTACGGGTCATTTGATAATATATGTTATTATATGACTCTGAATTTTAGTTTCATTTTACACGCATACTAGTTTTATGAGTTAATACCCAAAATCGTCATCAACTATAATGGTTTTTCTTAATTTCGTCCTAAACGGCTTTGGTGACCTAATATCGTCTCAGACTTTTGTGTTTCGCTCAATTTAGTCCCAGACTTTTGTGTTTTTGCTCAATTTAGTCCTTCATTTGTTATTTTGTCAATTTGGTGTTAAATAAATAGACAATTCAGTAATTTTAATATTGGCATCTCTTTACTCATAGATATGTGAACTGCGAGATTCTTTTTTTTTTTTTTTACGAATTACTCCCAAAATTACTCCTAAAATTGCGAATATAAAATTTGATTTGCAGGTCCGGGAGTAATTCTGAGTGTAATTCGTACAAGAAAGAGGAATTTTGCACTTCACAAGTTGAAAGTAAAGAGAGATCAATATTGACATTACTGAATTGTCCCTTTATTTAACACCAATTTGACGGAATAACAAATGGAGGACTAAATTGAGCGAAACACAAAAGTCTGGGACGATATTAGGTCACCAAAGTCGTTTAGGACGAAATTAAGAAAAACCACTATAGTCAAAGACGATTTTGGGTATTAACTCCTAATTTTATTATAGCAATACTAAAATATCATTTTAATTATTATACTATAGTTTTATTTAGCAATAATATGCTCTGTTTATTAATTTCATTTTACCCCACACTAATTTCATTATAATAACACTAAAGTATCATTTTAATTCAACTAAAGTTTCAATTCATTCAACGATTGCTTTGGACCATCCACTGTATAACAACGTACTGCCATTTCTACGCCTCATTGCATTAAGTGGTTTGACCACCCTCTTTTTATTTGTAATGTGTTGATTAAAGAAGTTTATGCTGCTTTTCTTTTCAAATAATAATAATAAAAATAAAATTCTTTGCTAGTATCTTAATTTTATTAATAGAAGAAAAATAAAATAAATAAAAGTTATTATCAACTATATTTTTCGGTCGGCCAGACAAACAGAGACAGGAGATGAGAAATAGAATGGCATTTACTATGAGAAAACACCATCATCATCATTATTATTATTATTATTATTATTATTATTATTATTATTATTATTATTATTTACGCCTCTGCATTACGTTGACGCCTCCAGTGATATCCGGCATTCCACATCGAGGCTTCATCATCTGTGATACAGTGTCGGCGTCCAAAACTCCGGTGGGATTAAGGTGGGAGTAGGTCTGATAAGTTTTGACGGCGGACTCCAGTTGATCGGAGAAGTAATCTGCTTCGGCGGAGCTGCTGCTGTAAGAAAGATGATCAATATAACCAAAATTTTTGAGATACTTCTTGAGATTGTACAGTCCTTCCACGCGGTCTCCTTTCTTGGATCCCTGCAACGCTCTGATAAACCCAAAAGCATTCGGGTATGGAATCCCCCTTTCCGCGGCCGGGTTAGACGCCATTGCTGGCTAATTAAGCTAAGCAAGTTGGGTATGAGATGGCTTTCTGTCAGTTTCATCTATTTATAGAGTTATGTTTACTATCAAGAAATCAGCATGGGCAGCTCAACCGGTCACAGAGGTAAAATTTTGACCAGGGATCGAGTCTCACCAGTGGCAGTGTCTCTCAAAGTGGGGGTTCCTTGTACCTTGTGAGTCAGTGGCAGTGTCTCTCAAAGTGAGAGGGTTCCTTGTGGCCAGTGAGTTGATTTACATCCTCTCAAATGCTCTGTCGAGTCGGAGTGTTGGGGGCCCATAGGGTTGGGGTTCAACCTTTGGAAATAGTTATCTTTTGTTGATTCCTTATAATTTTAAGCAAAATGCTACATGTTCTTCTATATTGTACTCCCACACATTAAATAATGATGTAGACACTTGTATTTCACAATTATTATCCGTAAGTATGCAAGGTAAATTTTGTTTTATAATCTTAGTCAGCATGCAGAAGACAACAAGAAAGTAAATAAACCTAAGTTGCCTATAACTGATCGGCTCAAAGCTTCAAACAAAGAAGACAAATAGCCCGGTCTTGTTAAGAGTCACAATACACACATATCCTAGTCATCTTTTTTTGTTTTTTTTTTTTTTTTTTTAGTTAAGTATGCAATTTTGGAGATTTGGTTTTGAGATACATTGATACGATACTGCCTTCATCAAACCATATTTGTTTCTATAGACTTTTGGCATTGGCAACTAGTGCAAGCTCTAAAGTTCTAGCACAAGTTTCATTATGTGATAACCTCAATCGAGCTGATTCAGATATTTATATTTTATTTTAATTCTTTTCTTTTCTACATATGAAATTAAAATTAATAAATATAAAAAATTAAACTTATAGTTAGATTAATTCGTAGAAAAGAATGTTATTAAACACGCATAAAAATTACAATTTAGATTTAATTACACATGTAATGAGCTCTTTCATATGGGAGGTCATGAGAACGAATTTCAGTAGAGACGTTGTTGATTATTTATATTTCAATAAGTTGAGAAAGTATGTTTGAACAGATATACAATATAATAGAGTCAGTAGCATTCAAAAAAAAAAAAAGTTTTAACCACAATTTCTAGCCCCAACAAACAAAAACTTTCATTTCATTTAGAATCAAATGGGGATTAAATTCATTTCAAACGAACTATTCAATCCACAATAAACTCATTCAATATTTGTGTTTCTTTGATTGAAAAACTTATTCTCATGTACTCATGAAATATGTTTTATAGTTTTTTTTAATTTTCTTTTCCATTTTAAATGAAATGATGACGTTTTATAATTGAGTTTCTTAAAATATAAATAAATATTTTCTTACACGCTTTTTGATATAATCATAAACTGCAAATGTGTATTTTTAAATTTTTTTTAATGAAATGACAACATTCCGTTATTGCGTACATGCTTTTATTAAAATATGAAAATTATATTCAAGCAAATACAACTCTTTTTTAGTAATACTTTAATTTTCCATTTTAAATGAATTGACGACGTTTTATAATTGAGTTTCTTAAAATATAAATAAATATTTTCTTACACGCTTTTTGATATAATCATAAACTGCAAATGTTTATTTTTTAAAAATTTTTAATGAAATGACAACATTCCGTTATTGAGTATGTGCGTTTATTAAAATATGAAAATTATATTCAAGCAAAATACAACTCTTTTTTAGTAGTACTTTAATATTCAATGGCTCAATTATACTAGTTATAGTTTTTCTTTTGATCTTATTCACTTTGATGTAAAAGATATGCTTAACCTTTTTTTAGTTTAATATGCTTATTTCTTTTGCTATGTGATTCATGAATGGGTCATTTCTTGATTTGGGAGTCTATTTCTAAGCAAATTTATTATGAACTATGGATTATGTACCAGCGTGAACCATAAAGTATGTATTATTATTATTATTATTTTTTTGAAAGGAGTCAGGGTGGCATTTTATTCAAAGTAATGCGAGATTTGTGCTGATGGGTTCGTATCCCAGTACATAGCTGAAGTTTGACTAATAACTGAATTAGCTAAAGCATGTGCTAAATAGTTCTTTGATCTAGGAACAAAAACAACTAAACAAGAATGTAATGAATTAATTAAATTCCTGCAACCATCTATTGCGTAGCCAACATATGATCGATCGGTATGAGCTGAAGTAGTTAGATATTGTTCAACCGTTAAACAGTCCATGAGTAGTTCCAAGCTTTCCTCTCCACGATTCTTGAGCCAAGACAGAGCTTCCTTGCATGTAAATGCTTCCGCCATAAGAGACGAGAAACAACTTGGAAGTGAAGAGACATAGGCAGAGATATATTGTCCGTTTCCATCCAAAAGAACTGCACCTACCGAGGCCGTATTTGTGGCATGGTGATAACTCGCATCCACATAGCACCTGCGAGTGAGTTGACCCGGCGGATGAAGTGGTACCGGGTGTACAGCAGGCGTGGCCGTGACTGCATTGGTGTGAGACGGTGTGGCATTGCATTCGGTTCCACGGTGCACGGCGCACCATGCTTGCATCGTGATGGTGGTCGTCCTTAGTGTCTTTTTCGGCATTGGCATGTAGGCGTCCCAAACGGCATTGTTTCTTGCTCTCCAAATATGATATAAGATTGCAGCTGCATACACCAGACCATCAGTGTTTAAATTATCCAAAATTATATTAAACCATTCATTAAAAATATTCGTCTGGACAACAGGGATTGGGAGGCTAGCTTGCCCCCATACTGCCTTGGCATAGTCACACGTGACCAGGGCATGCATGGTATCTTCATTTATCATTCCACACATAGCACAATTGGGCTCAATATCAACTCTCTTGTTTCGCAGATTCATAGTAGTGGGAAGAATGTCACTCAAGGCTCTCCATAGAAAGGTTTTCCATTTTGGGGGGATTTTGAGCTTCCATAGCACTTGCCATTTATTAAAGGGTGTAATCGTATTATCATACCTACCAACAATACACTTATATCCACTTTTCACAGAATATAATCCTCTTGGATCATCATGCCAATACCACATGTCTTCATACTCTGGTGATACGGGAATTTTCATTATTCTGGGTACATCTTCTGGCACAAAAATATCTGTTAAAATGGAAGTATCCCATGTCTCAGTATCCTGATCAATTAAGCCAAAAACTCGTGCATTAGCCAGTTGTGGTGGCATTTCTGTTTGAATCATTGGATCCTGCTCATCCTGCAGCCAGGGATGATCCCATATTCTTGTATCCTTGCCATTCCCTATCCTCCGCCGCACACCAGTACAAACCATGCTTTTTGCTGCCATAATACTTCGCCAACAAAAGCTTGGATTATTCCCAAGATATGCCTCTGAGAAAGTGTCTTTTGGATAATACCTGGCCTTATAAACACGTGCCACTAGGGATTCTGGCTTCGTGAGTAAACGTCATGCCTGTTTCCCCAACATTGCTAAATTAAATGCCATGAGTTCCTTAAAACCCAAACCCCCATATTTCTTAGGGATGCATAATTTGTCCCATGCCTTCCAATGTATTCCCTGATTAGTGCCTGAGTTCCACCAATACCTATTCATGGTCCTCTCAATAGAAGAAACAACATTCATAGGGAGTAAAAAAACACACATTGAGAAGGTACACTACAAGAAATTTCACATTTAGTGACAACAGAAGTTGTCATCGAAACTATCAATTTTGGTCACTATTGAAATTAGTCGTCACTATATCCTCCGTCACTATTGTAGTAGTGACGACTTTTGAAAAGTTGTCACAATTAATCACTGCTTTTGTGACAATATTTACTTACACTAAGAGTAGTATTTGAGTGATAACAATAGTTGTCACAATAAATGTATAATTTGTGACCAAATATGTTATTACAAAAAAATGTTATAGTGACAACTAAAATCGTTGCAATTAATTATTTTATTGTGACAACACTTTAGTCACAATAGTTGTACTTATTCGTGAGAATTTTTCTTGACGCAAAAAATGATATCAGTGACCAAAAAAGTGGTATAAATAATTGCTTTGTTGTGACAACAATCATGATAACAAATGTTGTATTTATTTGTGACAACAAAATTTAACTCTAAAACAATCATTAGTAGTAACTAAAGTCGTACAACAATTCAATTTCTTGTAACCATCATCTTTGTCACTAATATCTTTGAAAATAGTGGCAGCGTATTTGTCACTAAAATACTGAAAATTAGTAGCGAAATTTGTGTCACTAAAATAAGTTGAAATAGTGTCACTATTGTCAATCCTAATGTTTTTATAAGTGGCCATTATTTGGTCCCAATTATTTTTCCAAATAATACTAGCCAAATGCACAAAATATAAAATTATTTATTTCAATATCTTGTCATAATTAAATATTTTAATTTAATTATTTTGGAATAAAATAATTCATTCAACAAATGTTACTAGTCAAATTAAAAAAAAAAAAAAGATATATAAAAAGATATCATTGTCTAACAAATATACTTTGTAAAAATACAACTAAATTCAAATAAAAACATTTTAAAATAAAATGTCTTGATTATTCTTCACTTGAGGTAGTTGATGGAGATTGCTTAGCATATTTTGAAGCCCTTGATTGCTTACTAAGTGAGCAAAAATTTACTTGATGCCTTTCAAACTTCAACAGCATCTTACCATTCATTAGAATCTCTGTCTTTATGTAAAATAAAGAATAAAGATAACAAAAAGAAATAATTAACTACAAATTTTATTCATAAAAAAAAAAAAAAAAAAAAAACATGACTTCAATTTTTATTAAAAATAATTTACTTTACCATCTCATATGCAATTTGTACAATTGACTTTGTACCACTAACTGATTTGATCTCTTGATTTACTCTATTATTATTTTTTTTCTTTCGCTTTGGTCCTATATATATATAAAGTTATTATTAATAAAAAAAATAAATTAGACAAGAATCAAGAGACATACAAGACCACAAATATACATTTTTTTAAGATTAATCAAGAGACATACCAGAATTATGCTTATCAGTTGAACTTGTTAATGATCTCAGTCTTTTAAGATTAACCATTCTACAAATATACATAAATAAAAATTGAGTTATTAATAAATCAAGATTAATATGTATATATTAATCAATCAAAATATATATTCCAGAAGCATGCACTTTGTTTTGACAGAAAATAGAGAGAGAGAAAAAAAATCAAAGTCCAAAAACCTACACATCCATCAAAAGGGTATCCATATTTTTCACCGAAAATAGAGAAATAAAAATCGAAGTCAGATGCGGTTTCTTTTCATTACTTACTCATGATCTTTTCTTTTCTTTTTAATGGTTATTACAATTGTACCAATCAATTGGCTTGTTTATAACTAATGAAATGAGTGATACTGGATTCGTGTTTAAGAAAAACTAATTCTCTCTCATTCTTTGAAAAAAATTTAGATTTTTAAAATCATACATAAACATACATGTAAAAATATATTATATATAAAGAGAGAGTACCTTGATAATGATATAGGAGATGCAACTCTGCAGACTAATTTTTTGTTTCTGTGGTTTTTGCTATGAAGGTTTTTGTATAATTCTAAACTGTATAATATATATATATATATATATATATATATATATATATATATATATGTACACTGATAAAACCTAGTAAAAGAGGCGCAAAATTCTCTGGAAACAAAAAAAGAGGCGTGAAATTTTCTTGAAAACAAAAACAAAAGAGGCGCCATTATGATTTAGTATTTACTTTCCAAATTTACTAAATAATTATTAAAGAAATAATACATAAAAGTAAAGAATATTTGACTTTAGTTAATATTTTAAATAAGGGTAATTCTATTTGCACCACCTTAATTTTTATTTACATGCACCATCCTTTAATAGGTTTGTTAGTTTTATAGATGGTGTAAATACAACAATTTACTATTTGCACCGCCTTCATTAAAGTTGATCAAACATTATGTTTTTATGTAATAATAAATTTAAATTAAATAAGTATTTAAATATTTAAAAATCAAAACATTAAAAAAAAAAAAAAAAAAAAAAACCCTCGCCGTGGAAGGGGTTGTTGTTTTTTTAAACTTTTTTTAATGTTTTAATTTTTAAATTTAATTATTTAATTTAAATTTATTAAAATAATATTTCTAATTCCATTTGTGTAATATCTAACGTTTAATAAATTTTAATGATAAAAATAATTTTATTTTTTGTTCTTCTAATATTCTTTATAGCTCAATAGTTTTTATTAATTTAAAATTGAATTATGGTACCGTGTGGATAAAATTGTTGCCTAATCAATCTTTTGATTGTTTCAATATTTTATTATGTTAATATTTTTTTATATTATATATTTGATACAAGCATCTTCTACAAAAACTATAGTAAGAGGATGACTCTTAATATAAATACAAATAATAGGCTAATGTGGTTAGGAGTAATAATTCAATTAATTTTGAATCAAACTAATTGAATTTTTATTTTAACAGATTGTTATGCCGGGGAGGCAGCAACTTTGGGCGTCCCTAGAAGTATTGTGTTAGGTTGCTAATTGATGAAATTAGATGTTTATTACGTCACTTTTGTAATGTGAATTTCGTACAATATAATAACTTATACCCCTCATATTGTTGTTAGGGAGGCTCTTTCTATATATGCTCTATGGATTGGAGTATGACTCTTCTATTTTTGTATGATATCTTGCATAATAATGGCTCTTTGTGTATATTAAAATTAGGTGAATTTTATAAGTTTAACCGTCGATAATCGAATTTTCTCAAAACATAAAATCGGTATCAAAATTGATGTAATTATTACTAAATTACCAACCAAAATGATTATATATGTTAACCCAAATTATTTCGATTAATTCAACAAGTGTATTAATATTTAGAAGATCAACTGACTTTATATATATATATAAAGAGTTAACTGTCTAATTTTAGCTGTCATAGCCACATGCCCACATGGTATGTGGAAGAACAAAAATTCAATTAACCATAATTAACCATATATAATCGTATAACATTTTTAGTAGCTTCTCAACATTTTGGTTTAATTTGGTCATTTTTCTTGCCTTGCTGAATACAATAATCAAGCCATTACTTTTTTATAATTTATGTTTTTTTATGATAATGGGTATTGATAAAATTTGGATGGAAATTTCTGATAGATCATTGTCACAGTATGAAAAAAGAGGTAATTAAGGACTTTCTTGAATTTGTGTATAGAAATCTTGATAAAGGGAAATAATGTTATTTTATTTAATGCCGATTGGTGAGATGTTTATCATAAAATTAGACTCAAATTTGACAATTTTGAATTTTCTATGGTCAATATTACACGGAAGTTGCAAATTGATGAACCATATGTTTTAGCGTCGTGATTTCTATGATCTCCCTAATGATGATGTAAGAGATGAACCATTTCAGGAAAACGAAAAATTTGGCTTTACCATTCAAGGTTCTAATTTGGAAGATAATAATGATGTTATGGTATTGCATATGCCTGATTTGGATGTTGCAACTGTTGAAGTAAACTCATCAAATGTTCATACCATGAGTATTAAAGAAGATGAAATTGATAGTGATAGAGGTGCTTTTATTAATGATGATGATGAGATTCCAACAGCTGAAGATGAGGAAGGTGCTGATGATGATGATGATGATTGAGTACTATATGAATTTGTATTTATAACTTTTGAATTCTTTACTTTTTTATATTTTGAGTTTGAATGTTTAATAAGTCTTTTTGAAATATATTGTTGGTACTTGGTACTAAACATATACATGTTTATTTCCAAAACAATTGATATGACAAATTAGAAAAATGAGTTACAGTGAACTTATCCGTCACATAAGAACGTTTAAAAGTGAGTGATTATAAAATGTATTTTCACAATTACATTCATTTCACACAATATCCATCTATTTAACTATAGTGACGAAGTCATTCTAACAACTAATTACTCATCACAATTATAATAAATTGGTGACAAAAAAAGAAATCAACACAATTATTGGTCATAATTTAGTAAATTTTGTTACGGAATTATAGAGCATCACAAATATTTGTAACAATTTCATCACAAAAAATGACAATATTAGTGACAACAATATTTTTTCTCACAATTGTTTATCACTTCTAATGGTACTAACCAATTGTATTTTTATTGACAAAAAATGTTGTTACGAATATTATCAACGAGAGTGACCAACAACTATTTGTCACAAAAAGTACAAAATTTTGTGTCAACATTATATTTTGTCACAATTAAATTCGTTCCCGCCATAATTATACTGCAGCCAAAA